TGTTGTTGTTGTTGTTGTGTGCCTTCAAGTTGTTTCTGACTTTTGGTAACTCAAAGATGAACATATCCTGGGGTTTCCTTGGCAAGCTTTGTTCAGAAAGGGTTTGCCACATTGCTTTCTCCTGACACTAAGGCAGTCTTCTTTTTTGTTAGAGAACTCTGGTGCACAATAAACTACAGTTCTCATGATTCCTTAGCACTGAGCCAGGACAGTTAAAATAGCCTCAAGCTGCATTATTTCTGGCAGTCTGTAAAGGCCTTTAGTTGTGAGCAGGAAATCATTAGTGTTTTTTTATATATGATGGGAAGTGTTGTTGTTTTTTTTACCAAATTCTGTAAATTTAAGTCAATATATAAAGAGATCTTTGCTGTGTTGTGTTATTACCTGAGACAATAGGGTGTCTATTGTGGATTTTTGTAGTATGTACAAATTCACAATACAACCTAAGAAAAATACTCTTTATTTCTCACATCATACAATCACAAAAAACATAAAAAGAAACATAACATAGAACTGTGTTGCTGAACCTATGGCATACATGCCAAAGATGGCATGCAAAGCCATTTCCCTTGGCATGTGGAGTGGGGAAGAGGAGGAAAAGGCCCACCTGGTCCTCCTCCTCCTGGGCCTTCAGCTGCCTCTCAGGACTGAGAGGGGTCTGGGAGTGAAGAAGTCCTGTCCCAGAAATCCCACCCCCTTAGGGCAGAAGTCCCACCCCAGAAGTCCTGTTTCCCCCTGGAAGTCCTGCTTCTGGCATGGGGCCAACACTGACATATAACATACATACATAAATACATAAAAAACAACTTCCTAGTAACTACATATTCCTGTTGTATCTCCTGACTTTAGATTTCAGTTTTCATATCTCTTGTACTTTCCTAATTTTTCAATTCTAACTCATATCTCATTATGTACAGTTTTTTTATTTACAGTCATTCTATTTGGTGTCTTATTTCAATATATGTAATCCGTAATCTATTTTTTATTTCGTAATCAATTTTAGTTATTTGCTGACTTCACCGCAGCTTGAATTTCTTCTATTATATTTTACCATTAGTCCTTAAATGTATCAATTGATTTATATCTAAGCAGACATGTCAGTTTGTCCATTTCTATGTAAACTAACATTTTCCACAACCATTCTGTTTTGGATGGGGGAATCCTCCGATCTCCAATTCCTTGCATATACCACCCTAGCAGCTGTTGTCATATAGAAGAGAATTCTACTATATTTCCCTTCCTATACTTTATCTGTTATATCTAGAAGCTAAATTTTTGGAACTTTCTTAATCTTGATTTTTAACAATATCATAATTTCCTTGTGTATTGAGGACCAATATCTTTGAGCTTTTCTACATGCCCACCTCATGTTCTCCTTATATTTCCAACATCTGCTATTCAGGGATTTATTAACCTTTGAAAGCCTGATAGATGTTTACTACCATCTGAACTGGAGTGTATGGAAGTTCTTCTCGTATCACAGTTCAAAGTATATTTCAGTTTCTTATACCATTTTTCCCATTCATCTAATTAGATTAGACAGCCTGGATCTTGGGCCCACCTTATCATAACTTCCTTAATTTGTTTTTCTTCCATCTCCCATTTTAGTAACACTTTATACATTTTGGATATCAAGTGTTCTGACTTGTTCCATAGTACCGTATATCTTCTAGTTCTGTTTCTTCTGTTGCTATTCCATAGATTTTCTGATCCATTGTAAATCTTTCTTTTAACTGTCTAGACCAGAACCAGTTACATTTAAATCCCATTTCATTTAGTTCTTCCAAAGATTTTATTGTTTATTTAGCATTCTCCATTTTTAGAAGATCTTGATATGTCAACCACCTATCTTTCACCATTTCATTATGGTGAAGGCTTCATTAGATGAAATCTTTTTTGCAAGCTTTCTGTTTATTCTAAGTCTATACTTTCCCCAATACCCTCAACAAGGCTCTCCTTATAAAATGGTTTTTGAAATTTTGATTTACATTTACTTTCTCATAATACAGATAAGCATGTCACCCATAGATATCATCAACTCTTTCTAGATATACAAGACCTCTGTTTTCTAATCTTAGCCAGTCTTTGATCTACACCAAATAACTTGCCTAAAAATACAGCTTTAGATTTGGTAGTCCCAAACCCCCTCTCACTACATCATCCTGCAGGGATTTTACTTTAATTCTGGGTTTTTTTTTATCATCCCAGATGAAGAGCCTTTGCAGACTGCCAGAAATAATACAGCTTGAGGCCATTTTAACTGTCCTTGCTCAGTGCTAGGGAATCATGGGAATTTTTTGGGGGGGGGGGAGACACTGAGCCTTCTCTGTCAGAGAGCTCTGATGCCACAATAAACTACAGTTTCCATTATTCCTTAGCACTGAGCCAGGACAGTTAAAGTGGCCTCAAGCTACATTATTTCTGGCAGTCTGCAAAGGCCCAAAGTCTGTAATTTCCCTCTGCCAGTCTTCAAAGGGGATATCATTCATTATTATCAGAATAGTTTGCAATAGAAATATAATCTTTGGTAAGACATACATTTTCACCACTGAGATTCTTCCCAACAGAGATAGTTGCATATTCTTCCATTTTTGTAGATTTCATAGACGCTTTTATCCCCTCTTTGATCACTTCCATTATTTCTGTCAGAGAAATTCTTCTATTCAGTTCTTCTCTTTGTTCTTTAGTAAATTCTAGGATTTTCTGTTTATTTAAATATTTTGCTAGTTTCTCATCTTGTATCTGATTTTCTTTATACAAGTCTTTAAAGTATCTGTAAAAACACTCTTTTATTTTGTTTTGATCAGTATATAACTTTTCTTTATTTTTGATTTTTGATATCACTCTCTTTTCCTTTTCTTTCCTCAGTCTTATTGCTAACCATCTGTTAGGCTTGTTTGAGTGCTCAATTTGTTTTTGCTTCACAAACTTTCTCTTCAAATACTTAAACAGGGCTATCATATTTTTTCCTAATTCTTCCACTAAATACAGTGAGATTTGCTTTGTACTATCTTTAGTTGGATCAACAATAATAATTTTTAATAATAATTTTTATTTTTATGCCGCCTCTCTGCAGCGCAATCTTTTATTACCTGGCTT